CTACTCTATTATAGGGCATATTGACAGAATCTTGAATGCCTATTAGTTTTGGTCTGTCTGTTTTTCCTATACCAAACAGAATCAAGGCATGGTTATTTTTAGTTTCTTTCTTATGCCCTTCACCTTCTTAGGAATGAATTGCCATTTTTTCTCCCTTAACGGCTCATCCATTCCTTCTTCAATATAATCTCTACATTCCTTTACATTTGTTACTAGAATACCAACTTCTTAGCTCTCTCTTCTCATCCAAGAGATCGTACATTTATTCTTGTATAAATTTTCCTGTATCTGAAAGTCACCATACTTGTTTTCTAAGATATTCACTGCAGGATAGCGATTAAACTTCTTGATACTCCAAATACTGCTTCTAATAATTAAACAACTATTAAATAATTAAATTAAAAGAGAAGTGGAAATCTTGTCTTAAATCATTCTATGTGATGAATGTACTGATGTGGCAGTTTTTCCCCCCTGTGATTGATTTACTAGCACATGCAATTTGCAACACCATAAAGTTCCTCTTAATGGCTTAATTAGAACTATGCATCTCATTAAAAACTGAGCATCTCTCACACTGGCTCACCAGCCCATTTTGAAGCATGAGCTGCTTATGAGTAGAATGCTTGAGTAATAATTCAAAACTACAGCAACTTTGCTTGAAATAAATTTTGTTGAGGCCTCTCAAAGAACTGCCTAAGCAGCCAAAATGATGGAATTTGCCTTACTATAACAAAGTTAGTCCGCTAAAAAACCCTCTATTTGCATATCTTAGCTTCGCTTATTTCAATGGTCATGTAGTTGAGAATTGTTAGGGAATCTGCAGGGTTTTCTTTTCTCTGTATCTTGAATGTAAGACGCTGTCTTGGCGCTAAGCTGCATCATCTGTGTTTGTTAATCTTTGTGAGTTGGTTGAAAGGAAAACAGTGTTAGGTCAAAATCAAGAAAGGTAAAGACTAACATAGAATATCCTATACCTTACTCCTTTGAAATGTTTGTCATGGCCAGAGTGCAATATGTTTTCCTAACTGCTCACCCAATAAAAACTGTTAGTATGGCATGTTCATAAACACACTGTTGACCCAGGAATTGCCCAGCACAGATTGTTACCTCATCCACAAAGAGGTGTACTTGGTCCCCAACCTTCAGGGTTTCTGAAATGAAGACTTCATGGATTACATAGCCACCAAATACTTGTACTGATTCAACAGGGAAAAGTACATCCTCAAAAGTAGGAAAAAGACAAAATCATTAACACAGACACTTTGCAATTTTTGTGGAGCAGGTTCTTCTATTCTACAGGACATTAAAGTATCTTAATCATTAACAAATGCTATTTATCAATCAACTAAGCTCCTGAATTAACATTGGGAGAAGTATAGATTAAGATCGGTAGAGGTAAACCTTCTGTATTTAGTGCAAATGCTACAGTGGTCAGTTTTTCCCTTCCCGTTTCCTTATATTTGCTATAGTGAAAGACTAAAAGAGAAGCAAGAAGATGTGGATAAGGAATAAACTGATGCCATAGCTTGGAGACTGCAACCAACCAATGCATTTCAAGGAAGCTCATGCCCAGGGACATCAGGGAATAATTTCATTTCTGACTGGGAAAAAGCTTACCTGCTGCCTGCCACACATCATATAGCCTTGATCAGATGCCTGACCACCCTGCTCAGCGTAGAAGCAAGTCCTGTCTAGCAGGACCCCACAGTGCTGTTTTCCTGAAACTTCCTCTTGAAGAGTCTGATCTCTATATAATGCTAAGACAGTGGCTTGGCATGGCTTGAACACTGCAAAGAGCAAGAAAAAGGTCATAGACTCCATTTCTACAAAGTGGTCTGTTCAGTGGAGCCACCTGGACAACAAGACAATTAGCCAATCATGTAGCACTGATCTGACCAATGCTCACCTACATTATTTCAAAGCCAAGTATTTTGGATAGTCACAGAGCACCAGTACTCGCAGTATCCAAGAACACAAATATATTAAAATGATATTGCTATATATGGGAGTAGTTCCTTCTCTTTGGGAAAACTCTAGGAGACAATGGAGGACATGGTGGCTCTGGCATGTTGTGATCCATGGGGTCCTGAAGAATCAAACACGACTTAGCAACTGAACAACAACAGTGCCTTCTCATGAAAGACCTTGCCAGTTTATGTAGTGTACTGCTGGAGCCTTAACAAAAATTTGCAGCTTCCACCAAATAGTTGAAGCTGGGTATGTGAAAAATCTAAGAAATACAAAGATTAATGGCTGTGGAGATATCACTCACAGTTCCCCACCTAGGTAATGACAAGGATATATTACTGGCTTTAACTGCATTAAATGGATTTAAATATGCATCCATTCAATGCATGTGCTATGATAGATTTTCTTCCTTCAAGTTCAATTCCCCAGCTCCAAATTCAGGAAAGCTAAAGTCTCATTGCTCTACAAAAGAGGACAGCATATAAGAAACTACCTTACACTAATATGGGAATTACTGGATTATTTAGCCTAATTAGTCTATTATTTATATTATTTTGTCTATTCTGGTTGGCAATACTTCTTCAAGGTTTCTAGTTATGAATGATTTAGTGACATCATGGAACTTGCTAGATGTTGCTAAAAATAGGCTTCTTTCCTCTTGATACACTGGACTCCAATTGCCTCGTCCCTCCACCAGCCAACTCCCATGGTGATTGGTGAATATAACCTGATTAAAGATATTTTACTGTTTAAGTAAAAGGCTTCTCCTCTCTTCCCTCACAGAATCCTACAGGCAAAAAAAAACAACATGGAGGAAGGGGGCTAATATTCCCCATGCTTTCCAAAGGTAACAAGTGGGATTTGGATATATAGAGCTCACCTGGTTAGAGAGGAGGTGCTTCCTAATATGAGGAGTGGACAAATCAGAGCCTTCTACTGTCTTGACATCAACTGCTGGAAGCCAGTACCAAAATATAGAGTAGACTATGTGATTCTCTTGTACATGGATTACATAACCTATATCCATTTGGAGGCAGCCATTTGGAAGCAGGCAGGACCTTCTGAAGGCTTCTGAAGATGCTGCCTGCTTCCAAATGGTTTCCAATTTTTTGTCAGAGGGAGAGGTGACTTGGGCTCTTTTTTTCACTGTGAGACAGATTTCAGATGGAACACAGCTAGGAAGTCTTAGGGATGCAAATCATCCCCTTTTCCATCTTTAATACCTCACAAAACCAGAAAAGAATACTGAAATTAGCCTGAAAAACAATGACTCCCATGATTTGAGGTAGGTTTTAAGGGTGGAAATAGAATGATTTGTTTCCTTAAAGTCTGCTGCTGCCATTCTCCTACTTATATCACATCAATTGAGGAAAAAATAAATATTAAAAAATGTCTGTCTTGTTGTTTTGATGAAGTCACCATGACAACTGATGATCTACTGACCTCTGAAGTTCAGCAAGAGGAGATTCAGCCACCTGACCCCTCAAGGAGAATTTCCCCCTCCTCATTATCCAAGATCACTATATTTAGCTGAAGCTTGCAAGCATGCAGCATATAGATGCAGTAATAAAATAAGAAATGGCTGCCTGAGTGTGTTTTTGTAAAACTATGCTGCTATGGACTTTTCAAACCAGGTAATGAGTCCAATTATCCTACTCTAACAAAAACATTTATCTCCCTACTGGAAAATAAGTCTGGTCTTCACAAAGGATGGTTGATCCTTACCATATTTCCCATCTTGTCCACGTTTATAGTCATACTTGGGGGAATCATCAGTAATAGGCACATTACGCTGCTGCAAGTGAGCCAATGAAAGCACATCCAGCTGCTTTCTAGAACTCTGGGGTTGCTGTTGCTGTTGCATCTTAGCATTGTGCTGCAGAGATATGGAGATGGAAGGAAAGACGCAGAGAGAGAAAAGAAAGAGAAGCATCAATTTAATACAACCTGTACACAGAATTCTGAAGACTGTAGCATTTTCATAAGACTATCCCAATTTAGGATCAAGTCTAAGTTTTTGAGAATCTTTGTTCCCTTTTAAATCAACTGTTGGGGAGGTGGAATTCAATGATTACTATGAAATTTAACTGCAATTTAGTTTGCCCCTGCACATCTTTTAGAGGAAAAAAAAATAAGACAACTATTAGCAAAAAACCCAGATCAAAATTAAAACAGATGTCAACAACATACTTATCTATTTTTATGCATTATGGTTTCAGCTAACAGAAGAGCTTCTTCAGTAAATGTCAAACTACTGAACTCCTTGTAGTCTTCCCGATGTTGCTAAATCCCCAATATTCTTCACTGTTTACCACAGGGGCTGTTGGGAGCTCCGTTTAGCTATGGCTAGAAAGCCATGGGTTGCCTATTTTTGCCTTAGACTTCCCTAAAAGTAGCATTTTAAGGCATTGGTCAGAGGGGGAAAAAAAGCTCAATTAGGATGACTCATAAAAAGACATATGTCAGCCTTACTTCAGCATGTTCCTGAGCCAGACGATCAAAAGTAGCAATGTCTAGCTGTGCTCCTTTTTCCTCAAGCATCAACTTAATGAGATCCAGGGGGAATCCCAAATTTCTATAGAGAGACCAAGCTACCTCTCCTGCAGGCAAGAATACGAGCAACTTCAGCAACTTTCCTATGGTTAAGCATGTCATCCTAAAATGCAACATCTGCCATTTTTGATGCTTCCTAACTAAAATTTGAAATTGTAAAAAAAAAAAAAACCTCAACCATAGGATAAACATTGACTGTGATTACACAGATAAGACATCGGAAAGTTGCACATTAATTCCCATTAACCAGCCAGAATATCACTGTTTCATGCAAACATGGTAAAAGGAAGGGAAAAGTCAAAGCTAGGCAAGTGGGCTGTACAAACAAGGCATCTATCTCATTACGCTACATGTTGTACTTTGGCATCTAGCAGTGGTTGGTTGTGGGGAAAGGAGGCCCTTGCCTGGGAAGACTTTGGAATGATTCAATTTCTGGAGAGTTCGGTTTATAACTCGGCGTCCTTGCAAGAGAGAAGAGAAAAATGCTGCCTCGTTTTCATTGATGATATTCATAATCTGCAGGGAGATAAAAAGGCAAATTGAAGAGGCACAGAAAATAAATAAACCTGTCGCTTAGAAAGCAATTTATTACAAGCGTTGAATAAAAGATGAAGAGGCAAATTAAAAATTTGAATAGCCAAGCTCTTCAAGATATCTCGCTCACTCAGATGTAATACAAGCATGATGCATGCTCCTCACTTTTGTAGAATTCTACTCTCCCTGCAATCCTATGATCCAGATGGAGAAAAGGGAAGAGTAAGAAATATGTAGAAGGAAAAAAAAGGCATCTGCTCTAGAAAATAAAATCCAGATTGCACACCCAGTTGCAAAAACCAGACATTGGTCTAGGTCAGGGGTAGGGAAACTTGGCTCTTTTATCACTTATGGACTTCAACTCCCAGAATTCCTGAGTGAGCCATAAAAGGTTCCCCATCCCTGCCCTACTGGTTTTTCAGTTGTGGGGGGAATCAATTTTTGACTTGAATGGGACTGTTTAATATACAATTGTAGGACATTGTGTAGCAGATTGGACACACAAGGAATTTGTCTTGGTGCAAATGCTCTCTGTGTACATAAAAGATACATTCGTCAAGAGTCAAGAATCATCAGGTATAACACTTAATAATAGTCACAGGGTACAATAAGCAATCAAATCATACTAGGAAACATTCCATATAAATCATAAGGATACAAGCGACAAAGTTACAGTCATACAGTCACAAGTGGGAGGGGATGGGTGATAAGGAGTGATGAGAAGATTAATAGTAATAGTAGCGCAGACTTTGTAAATAGTTGGACAGTGTTGAGGGAATTATTTGTTTAGCAGAATGATGGCGTTTGGGAAAAAACTGTTCTTGTGTCTAGCTGTATGCTCATTAAGAGGGAATGGCTAAGGAAATAATTCCACTATTTCAGGCAATGTGTAATAATTAGAGATCAATACAAATTTTGAGTGCAGCAGCGGTAGCTGCTTACCTTCTCTGGATCCTTCTTTAGTTCTGGATAAGCATCTCCCTGCAAAAGAAACATCAACTCATTACAAGTCATTACTAGTGCCACTCCCACTTTTCCCCATCCTTAATTTATATTATATGGAATTCTTTGCTTCTGAAATTAGGATTTTTTTTTGTTTTGTTAGTCTCATGTCAGGAATGATATAATATAGCAGATTATCCTCCCTCCACCCCCAATTCTATACAAAAATAAAATCTCTGTATAGGATTAACACGAGTGACAAACAGCATTAGATGTGTTGACTTAATACAAACATCACAAAAGATCTTTCAGGCCCTTCATACTATTGGACAGAAACACTTCCATAAGCGCTGACTTTCAGTCAAGAAACATGGAATTCTGCAAACGTAGCTCTTTCCCGATTCCAAGTCCTTTAATAATTCTGTTACTTCTGTACATTTTCTAGTTAGCAGAAGTGATGGGATATATGTCATTGGAATAGTACAACTGCTGCATTACGTACTATTTCTTCTAACAGTGAAACCACGTGTAGGACAATTAGGTAGTTTTAACACCTGCATTAAAAAACCCTGCTCTTTGACTTTGTTATATCTCCCACACTTCTAGCAACTAAGGGATTCCTTAACTGATATCACAAGGGAAACTATCTGATAAGGCAACAAATACAGCGTTAGAAAATAAAGCTAGCTCTGAGAAGTGTCTTGCCTAAGAAATCAATTCTAACTTACCAGAATTTCTCCTACAACAGGAACCAAACTCGCCAAGAACCCAGGTGGAGCATGGAGAACCTCTGAAGAAAATCGTACAGCCCTGCGTAAGATCTGACGCAGAACAAGCCTGCAGGGAAGAAATGTTTCAAAAAGAAATTAGCATTCTGAGTGAGTAGGGAATTTTACTTTTTCAGAAAACAGTCTTGAACACTTGCTAAAATTCCCACCAAGATTCTCTTAGTGTTTCTCTTGTTAGTTTTACAACTATATCCTTGGTATACTCCATGTGTTGTATACTTTATGCATGCATTTCATGTCTGCTGCAGTCACTCTCTCCTCCACTAATCTTTTGGAATTATTCAAAATTGTAGTTTCCATTTGTCCCACTCTGCTTCCTCTCTCTGTGTAACTTTCTCTCTCACAACATCAACACAACATCAATATTCTCTAATCACTCACGCCCTCTGATGACCCAGAGTGTACCACAAACGTAACAAAATCCAAAATGTAAATGTCCTTTAATGCCTCCAACTTGGCCCCACTGTTCAATAATACTCAGTTGGAGATAAAACGTACTCAAAAATAGTCTTCAAAAGAAAGCAATACAGTCTGAATTTAATGAGCAGATAGAGGTGAAATAAAAAACCAAACAAACTACAATGACAAAATTTCCACAAAGGAACAGAAGTATTTACCAAATTCAAGGAGATAACAAGGCACAGTCTGTTGGAAGGATGCCAACCAAGATAACTTCAGACCAAAATAAAACACGCTTTGTTTCCAGCGTTTGCCAGTACGCAGGTCCAAACTCTTATTCAGTTGTCAACCTGCATCCCATGAAGAGGATCAAGGCCCTCTCCTCCCGAGGAGACCACGTCTCTCCCTTATCCTCTCCTCCCTGTGTGCCCTAGGATGGATAGGGGATGGGCCTAGGTCCCATCTGACTGCTCAGCCGGCCTCTGCCCTTCCCCAGCCTCCTCCACAACCTCCGGAGGGACACTTCCACTCCCAGTTGGCTGTTCCTCCTCTCCCTCAGAGTCAGTCTCCACCAGGGGCATGACACTCCCAACCTTTCTCCCCCTCATTATTGGACTTTTTCCTTACTCGGCACCAGCCATGCCTGGGAAAATCCCATCCGCAATGCACACAGACAAGGCACGCACATGATCTGCCACCACTCTGTATGCCATGTTCACTCCCCCCGGGTCAGTCTCGCCAACCAAGCCTTGGTAACCAGGTCCACCGCAGCCCTGAAAGATAATAGAAGACACTGAAAAAAGGCACACAAGAATACTGCATGTTCTATTACTCCAAGTTGCACCGCTTTTCGTTCTTTCTTCTCTTTCTTTACCTTTTTCTCCTTAAATGTTTAAATGGAATGTTCTTTAAATGTTTATGGGATTTTTTTTTTAAAGAAAGGGAAGACCAAAAATATTTCACCAAACTAAAATGGGCCCATTCCCCCATCTCCACACAACACCCAAAACATATTTGTGAAGTCTAATGCATTTGTAAGTTCATTCAACTGCTTCTGTGTCTTTTAACATTCTACCATCTATCTTCTGAAAAGATCCAAATAAAAGATTTTCCTGTTTTAATAGTTTACAGAGGGGGTGTTATGTTTGAACTTCTTTTAAATCAACTCTGAAACACTGCACACCAATAATGGCTAAGTTTCCTGAGGTTTAATGTTGCAGTTTTATGCCTTACCAAATTCAGTGGCACTTACTTCTGTGTAGACATGTAAATTACTACTGCAGAAAAGTAGAACTGATAGCTAAGAGGGGGATAGGAAAGCTAACCCCAAATATAATAAGACCCATATCACAACTTGTTTTATACTTCTTGGAAGCTGCACTTTTTCACTCAGAAAAGAACCATTCTAATGCTATCAGAGGCGGTCTCTCAGTTTGAACAGTCAACAAAATACTTAAGTCATTCAAGTGGCTCTTTTAAGGCTACTGCCAGAAAAGAAGATGCAGCAACTTTTGATCTCTTGACAAATAAGCATTCTAGCATATCCACAATATTCAGACTGATGAACCTGGGTGAGCCTCAAGATTTTGTTGCAATCTAAATCTCATAAATACCATCCAGTGATCACAGACATTACAATATAAAATCAAGTGGACCAGAGATTCCCGTTCTTACTCCAAGAAGATAGTGCTGTACCACTGTGATTCTGTCACATTAGTCTTTCTCTGACTTGAGGCGTACGATGGCAATTGGGACCAGAATGGCCATTGCTAAACAATATCATTGTAAAGGCCAATTGCATTGCTTTGTGATGGCAGTCCCAGTTGCTTTGTTTGTCCCAGGACTGTTAGGTGAGGAAGCTTCCTGCTGGCTTCTCACAATCAAAGTCAGTGGGTAAACTGGCAGGAAGTTTTAAGTCCAGGTTGATTGGCAGGTAATTGGTTGCTGTCAGGTGGGGTAGGCAACAAGAAAGTGTGTGAGACTGCAGAGGAGGGTTGAGGATGAGATGTTGAGGTGTGGGACTGCATGGAAGAGTTGAGGATGAGATGTGAGGGGGTGCACAAGAGATGTAGTAGGGGTGTGCAAGAAGCACAGTGTGGGTCAGATGCGCAAGGAACACAACATGGCTCAGGAAGTGTGTACAGGCAGCATAGCACAGGTCAGGGAGGGTGCACAAGGGTGTGTGAGAGACATAGTGCAGATCAGGAAGAGTGCACGAGGGTGTGCTGTAGTTCTGGGCAGGTGCATTAGGTTGTGCAAGAGGCATAGAACAGATCTGGACAGGAGCACAACGGTGTTTGAGAGGCATGATCTGGGTTGGGAAAAGACTGTGAAGTAGAGTAGCAAGGTCCATGAAGATGGTCTTTAGATACATTTCAAATCAATGTAAGTCAATGCAATCATAGTTCTTAACTGGAGACTACTAGGTAGACTGTATATACAAAACTTCAAAGTCTCGGTAGAACCACACCAGGCTCATCATCACCTTATGGATGGCATCCAGGATTGGGGTGAAGAGGTCAGTGTCATAATTGGAGCGTTTGTTCTGAAGAACTGTCATCAACCTTTCTAAGCCCATTCCGGTGTCCACATGATGCTGAGGCAGATGGCGTAAACTCCCGTTGGCCTCTCTAGAAATGTATCCGTTAACCAACCAAGGAAAAATGGTAAACATTAATTAGAGGCCAAGACTTGTTTTGCTGAAGGAAAAGGAATGGCAATGCTACAAACGATTAAACTGAAATTGGAGAAAGGCACCAGGAAAACTGATGAGGACAGACTAGATGACCAAGATTAGTGGGAGATTATTCAAAGGTTCTTATCGATCATAGATTAGGACAACCTTTTACTATCACTCTATAGAAATAATCTGTTAGGTAAGCAAAGGCAAAACCAGTAGCATAAGTAAATGAGTAAGGACATAATTTCTTATATGTAGTTTTTCCAATGCTTTATGCTACCCTTTTCTCTCTTAATTTCTTTTTTCTTTTGGTTTCTGACACCCTCTTCTCTCTCGTCCAAGAAACAGGCTGCAGGAAAGGGACAGATTACTCTTGCTAGAGATCTGGGCTGATCTACCATTGAAGGCTTTTGAAATCAGGACACAAGCTGTGATGGGGGCTTTGGGCTGAAGGTTGCAAGCTCTGACAGCATCAAAATATTAATGCAGAAAGTACACTCACCAGGGGCAGTACACAGAGTGGTAGGGTAAAACAAAGAAAAAGGCGTTTTAAATTATTTTGTAGATGATGGGGACATAATGGGCAAAATGGGTACTTGAAGACTGCAAAGATCTTGCCAATCCACATGAAATTAGTGCAGCCCTCCAGCTGATAAATGACAATATAATTGGGATAACAGGGAGAAGAGGAAATATATATTTAATATAAATAATTGGACTGATAAAACAATACAGATTAGTGTAAAACTTATGAATATTTATTTGTTTAAAAATTGTATAGCTGCCCAACTTAACAAACTGCATATTCTATGGCAGGGATCTTCAAACTTGACAGCTTTAAGACTTGTGGACTTCAACTCCTAGAATTCCTCCTCCAGTCATGTTAGCTCAGGAATTCTGGGAGTTGAAGTCCACAAGTCTTAAACTTGCCAAGTTTGAAGAGCCTTGTTCTATGGTATGCAAAATTGTGTTAGGAAGTCAAGTTATGGCATTTATATAAAACTCTAGCAGTAACATCATAACACACCTATTGTACTGTATGAAAACGAGGTTCCAGATCTCCACTACATCAGGACTTCCCTGATTCACGAGTACTGCTGCATTTCTTCCACCACCTATATGATCATAATGGATTTCTGTGCAGGGTCCACAGGGACCAGTGTCACCCATCTCCCAGAAGTTATCTTTCAGGTGAAAAGGAAGAACGTGGCTAGGGGGTACACTGAAAAACAAACGAAGAACAATAATAAGAAAGGAACAAGCAAACAAGCAGAGCAGTTGGTGAGTGGAAAGAGTAAACCCATATTTTCCTTCTTTTCTCCCAGTGCCTGGATCTATGAACTTCATGGGCTGGAACTCAGACATTTCAAAATGGGAAATCGGTTTCCAGGCTGCCACTTTGCTGGGGTGGGTGAACTCTAAGTGGTAACTTAGACATGGTTCATTCATTCTGCTAAATCACACGTCATCTCTACAAATCAGAGGCTGGTTTCCCAACACATGCTAAGTCAAATAAACCATTGTATGGCACAATATGATACATACAACCCATTCCTCCTCCACTTTACAATGATGGCCTGTACTGATGAATGCTACCGAACAAGATGAATAATATTATGGTATTCAGTTCATGCTTGCTGCATGCAGTGGTTTTGGTCTTCTTGGCATGTCTAAGGATCAGGATTATGCAATCCTTGAGCAAATTGGGGTAAAAATCAGATAAAACCATGTGAGACATAAAACAAGGCTATAAACTATTTCAGGCAATGCATTGACCAGTGCCTCTTTCCTAGCCCATTGTCCAGCTACCATATTATAAATGCTGCTGCCATTATTTCCATACTGCAGTAGGTTTACAAATATGCCTCCAAGTCTTTTCACTCTATTATTCCAAAGAATTCCTGAGAATTAATTATTCAAAAATGAATACTTTAAGAGTCCTTCCAGATGGAACATTAAAGGAAGATTCACAGAGTAGGTTAAAACGTTGAAATATTGGGTGTCTGCTTTCAATCTTCTACCTATGGAACTAACAAAATATGAGAACTGAATACAAATTTCATAGTACATTTTTTCAATAATTATATGTGTACTCTGAAATGCTCATTACGTTGTCCCAGCAGTGATAAAATCTTTTAAGGCCAAAGTTTTGAGCCAGTTATTATATGGTACCCCGTTGCATTTACACAAATATAAATTTAACCTAGGCTAAGAAAGCAAAATTGTTGAAATCCTTATTCCTCATGAAGATATACCATAATTTCCCAATATTTGTATAGTGTGCATGCCTCACATAAAAGACTCTTCACAATGATGCAAATTGATATTATCCATTAAGATGATAATGAGTATATATTCCTCCACCACCCGACCCCCATATGAATGCCATACATGCTTATGTTTGAACTCGGAAACTGATTCTTATTTGTGTTACTTCACTGTCAATTGCATACTCACTGCTGTATACAATTAATAGCATTCATCAGGTCACTCTTTAGCTGCTTGCACTATTAATGATCCACCTGTTAATACTTCTAAAACATTGGCAAAATATCTGTCACAGAAACAGCTTTTAAAAGTCATCTAATTCCCACTTAAATGTAAATTATTGTTTATTTTATTTATATGACTTATATCATTTGAACATATATATCAGAGTTGGTGAACCTTTTTTGGCACTGAGTGCCAAAATGGGAGTGTGTGCATGCACGGGGGAGCACCAGAAACCAGAATAGCAGCTCCCCAGGTGGTCTTCCCATTTCTGGCGCACATGCTCACGCGAAGACCAGCTGGCCGGTGCACATGCGCGCGCCAGGACCCAGAAGAGCAAAGGGCGATGGCTACTGTGCCGAGAGAGCTGGATCTACGTGCCACTTCTGGCATGCATACCATAGGTTCGCCATCACGGGTATATATTTTTTGCTTTTTTTATATATATTTGTTTGCTTTTGGACCATGATAAAATACCTTCAAAGTTTCTAAAATTTATTTACTTTCATTTTTTATAAAAAATACTTACCCAAGCGTAAGCCATATATCCCTACACTCTTCATCAGCATTTAGACCAAGTGAGGCATCACCTCCAAAATAAGTGACATAAAGCTGATCCTTTGGAATTTCATAGACTTGTGTCAGGAGCTCCCATGCCATCTTACATGCTTCCTCCTAAAATAAAGAAGTATGGAAGCAATGAAAAATAATAGTTAAATGTTTGGGTAAGAAAACAATTGCAGATGCTCCAGAGGGAACAGACTATAAAGAGTGATATTAGCTGCTTGTAGCACAAATCAAGGACAACCTGGTGAGCAAATAAAATGAAATACGGAATTAAAGTGATCTGGTGAGAGCTTTTCCCAGTCTCTTGCAACTGGATAGATAACCTCGGATAGATTACTCTCTTCTCTAAGCTATTGTGCAGGATACTCTAAATTATTTGAAGATACAATATAGACAGATAAACAATTAGTGTCATTAACAGCAGACTAGAATTCTATAAGGTCTTTTTGGCTGTTTATTTGTATACAGTTGTTTATATAATGTTTTCCCAGACCAGTGTCTTCTGGATGTGGTAGAGTACAACCCTCAGCATGTCTAATCAGCAAACCTATGGTATCTAAAAAAGATGGATGTTACACTCCAACACATTGCAATCCACAGGCTGAAGACAACTGGTTTAAAGTATTTAGATCAGAAGTGGGAGCACAGAAGTCTCATCAAGTCAATATGAGTGCAAACAGCAAAACCTATTCACTTTGCAATTAGACAGTTTCCTTGACTTGACTTATTCTTCATGTTTGCGTAAAGTGTCATGTTTGCATAAAGTGCACAAATCAGAATAGCCTGATCAACTAAGTTCTTTCTCAAAAAATATTATTTCCACATGCAGAAAATCCTTTGCACTGAGAAGCCATAGCAACTACAACGATTGTTTTACTGTTCCAATTTATGGTGCAGTTTAGAAACAAATATGTCACAAAGAAAAAAAGGTAACTCTGGATCATGTTTAGGTCACATTTAGTTACAAATTAAATTAACTACAAATGGACCATTTTTTAAAGCAAGTGTAACAATGCCTTACTTTGAAATAATCACCAAAGGACCAGTTCCCGAGCATTTCAAAGAAAGTATGATGATAAACATCTCGACCCACATCCTCCAAATCATTGTGCTTTCCACCTGCCCGCACACACTTTTGGGTGTTCACAATTCGGCGGTAACGTTTAAGCTCACTTTGAGGATCTGCTGTGCCCAGGAAGATTGGTTTGAACTGGAAATTCAAAAACAATTAGAAAGGAAATTTCACAAATGAGATATTTGGCTCACATAAAGAGAAGGATTGCTATAGTGGGAAGGCACATTCTCTTATCACTCAATAAACCAAACTTAGTACTAACCATGATTAAGGGAAACTAGCAAACATTTCTCAGTCAGTACAGCAAACCCAGCCAGCCACATTCTAACAGTTCTACTATTCCAGATACTTTTCCTTTTGTGGTATCTCTGATTTCCTGGAATCATGTTGTTACAATTTAAACAATGTTTGCAATGATCACATAAGAAACAGTCATCATGCATAGCATGTAAGAAGCTCACTCTTTTCCCAATCCCTTTCTTTCAAAATATTATTGTTATTCCAAACCCATGGATGCAGAAAATCAAATTGAAAGAGGCTGCTCTGTGTTTATTCTTCCACCCTACCACCCTACTTTTTTTAGAACAGCAATGGCTCCTTATTTATAAATCCATCAATAGTTCAGATTTGGATATACACTGGGCCATTTGGTAAAGTTCTCAACCGTATTTCAGCCTATAGTATATGTTTGAATGACACTGCAAGCCAAAGTACAACATAACTTAATATGTCATGCAAGTATGTATTGTCAGTCTCACATATGCACACAGTGTGCTCAGAATATCTGAGAACAGGGCATTATTTTAATTTAACACTGATCTAATAAAATGGTGACTTGAAGCAGCAACTCTCTGGATCCAGTCCATTAACTTAGCTACCCATTATGCTGGTTCCAGTGATGCTCTTGAAAAGCAAATTTATATTAAATAATGTTAGATAAATGTGAATCACAACATAATGCATAATGGCATATGAAGCTTACTTTATTTTTATCTAAAACATTTTAAATCCAGTTCTCAAGAGAAAAGGTGCTAGAGAAAAGAACATAAGACATTCTTTCTGAAATATCCCAACTGCAGTTCTCAGTTGCATTATGACGCTTCTTATTCCGACTGCATATTTTCCTTCTGCTGAACATTTTTTCTCCTATTTACATTTCCAGAAAAAATATTCTAGAAGTCTAAAAAGTTGTAAAATGCAATGCAGCTTTATGAGCAAATACACATATTTTTTTTTTTAGCAGCGAGAAAGATGTAAAACGACGGCACCGTAGCAACAGCATTTACACCAGGAAAGAAAAGAAATTCCGAAAAAAAGGGAACGAGATATAGCATCCGATCAGAGCCGTCAAGGGCAACGGCGGAACCCTTCTGCGAAGCCTGTTCATTCCGCGCCCTGTTTTGGGAACGTACCTGGTTCATTCCCGCGTTCACGAATAGCAGCCCGGGATCGTTTCGAGGCCTCACAGAAGCCGAGGGAACGACTTGATGTCCGTGCCGCTCCTGGAAGTACTGGAGGAACATCTGGCGCACGTGTGCGGAGGACAAGGAGGCGGCCGAGCGAGCTTGGAAAGAGCTGCAATGCCAGTTGCGGGGCATCCGGAGAAAGCGTCTCACGCAGCCCTGCACTCCCGCCGCCATCTTAGCTGTGGGCGGAATTGTGGGAATCGGAGAAGGGGGCGAAGCTTGCGAAGTGACACCGTCGCTCTGTGTATGAATGCATGAGAGCTCCAGCTCCGTGTCGAGTGGAGGATGTGGAATTGCTGTCCCAATTTCTGAAATTACAGTGATCTCTTGGTAAAGCAGGGTTTCTGCATTGCCGCCCTTGGGGAGGTCAGACAGAGTCCACATTCAACCTTTTAGTTACATTGTTGCAATGAATCCACCTCTCCCAAAGTTTCCTTTGCATTGTGTTCATTTGTGTTCAAGTTGGTGTATATGGATTTTTAGGACAGGTACGTACGTTGAGGTTACACTGAGGGAAGGGCGATGGCAAGAAAGTTAAGAATCCCCGTTTTAAAGGGATTATAAACATATTCAATCAGATCCCTCCAATGCAAGGTTGTGGCTCATTTTGTTACCTGTCAATAGGTATGAGAAAATGGGCTTCTCTGGGGGAGTCCGGTTCTCAGGGCATGCACTGCCATAACCATGATGTGGCTCCTGAGTTCAAACAAGATGACATTGTTTAATAAAAGGGGATCAGCGCACGCCCTCTTCGTTAGATTTTGGCAGTGGGAGGAGGAGGGAGGTGGTCAGCAAAAACAGTGGAAGAGCAGCTGTTTGGGATCCTCAAATACACTCTGTGGGTGCACTATGGTAGTGATCAGCAAACATGCACAAATAAAAGCTTTCTGCAGAGTTGCATCAGTTCCCATCCTCGAAGTTTAGGAAAGTTATATGGAACCCCTCTCCTGTTCTGCTTTTTTTTTTTTAAGTCCTTTGCTTTGGCTAAAAAGTTAAAGCACTCTTGATTCTTTGTCTTGGTTAGAACATACTCATTTTAGTCTTGAAATCCGATAGATAGAAACACTGTAGAAATGCAAAGAAACCACTAGGTTGCGCTGCTTCAAAGGTCTGTGTTGATTCTAAAGATAGAGGAACTGATTGAACAAAGCTTGTTCTGAGTGTGTGCTTCAGCCCATTTTCATTCTGATTTTAAAGCGGTCTCAGATTTTTTGAAGGTATATTAAAATGTAATTTCCTCAAATTGAGCAGATTCAAAAGCCAGACAGCGCCCGCGGGACTTGAACTGCTAGGAACTAGAGTTGAACACGAATTAACAAATTGTGAAGGAACCGCTAGGCTAAGCTGGCTCGAGTCATGCTTTCTGTTCAGAAGATATATGAGATGACTCAGCAAAGTTTATGCAGAGATGATAGGTTAAAGAAGATTCATAAATGATTTAAAAGCTGGACCAGAAAATGTATTTTAGTGTATGCTCCAGCCCTTTTCCATTCTGATTTTTATTCTTTTTAGTTTTAGAAGGATTTTTCAAAAATGTGTTATAATCAAAAAGCCAGGCAGCGCCCGCGGGACTTGAACTGCTAAGGAGTAGCAGCTGAATGACAATTACTCAGATTGCGAAGAAACCGCTAGGCTAAGCTGGCTCGAGTGCTAGTTCCTGTTCAGAAAATATAAGAGACGACTCACCAAGATTGTAAACGTAATAGAGTAAAGAAGTAGAGATTCGCAAATGATGTAAAAGGAGGACTGGAAATTTTATTTTCAAAGCATGTGTTCCAGTCCTTTTCCATTCTGATTTTTAAATTCTTTCTTGTTTTAGGAAGCATTTCAAAAATGTGTTAGAATCAAAAAGCCAGACAGCGCCCGCAGGACTCGAACTACTAGGAACTAGCAGTTGAATGACAATTACTCAGATTGCGAAGAAACCGCTAGGCTAAGCTGGCTCAAGTGCTAGTTCCTGTTCAGAAAATATAAGAGACGACTCAACAAGGATTGTAAGCTAATAAAGATGTAGAGATTGATGTAAAAGCTGCCCTTTCCATTCTGATATTTATTCTTTTTCTGGTTTTAGGATATATTTTCAAAAATGTATTGCAATAAAAAGCCAGACAGCACCTGCAGGATTTGAACTGCTAAGAATTATCAATTCATAAAAAATTACCCATATTGCAAAGGAACCTGTAGGTTAAATTGACTCAGGCGATATTTAAAAGATATGACTTAGCAAGACTTAGATGACTTACAGACTATGGGATAAATATTCTCAGATGATGTAAGATCTTGATTGAAATATTTTTTAAAGTATATTTTTCTTGGTTTTAGGTTTCAGGAAATATTTTCAAAAATATTTTTTGATTAAGCCGAGCCTGTGGGACTCGAACTACTAAGAAATAGCAGTTGGAAAACAATCTGCAAGCTGTGAAGGAATCACTAGGCTAAGCTGGCTCAAGTAGTAATTCCTGTTCAGAAGATATAATAGACAACTAAACAAATTGTGAAAGTAATGGAATAAAGATTCTCAAATGATGTAAGAGACCGAGTGGAAATTTTATTTTTTAAAAAATGTATATTCCAGTCTTTTTCTATGTTTTTACCCCTCCATGTTCAGTTTCAGGAGATATTTTCAAAAATATTTTCTAATCAAATTGAGCTGATGAGAAATATATGTTGAATGTTTCTTTTCACATAAATAACAAGAAAAAAGGCAACAAAACAGTTGGTCCACTAAAGAGAGAAGATGGCAAGGATGTAACAGGCACTAGAGAGAAAGCAGAGCTACTTAACTGATTCTTTGCATCAGTCTCCACGCAACCCCCCTCCCTATAACCCAACCTATCAAACATAACTAAAACACAGACTAGAAATAAAAATTAAAATAAGCAAGAGAATGGTAAGAGAATATATATCTGATCTTGATTAATATAAATCACTGGGACCTGATGGATTACTTCCCAGAGTTCTGAAGGAGCTGGCAGATGTTATCTCAGAACCATTATACCAGAGGTGGTATTCAGCCAGTTCTGACAGGTTCTGGAGAACCGGTAGCGGAAATTTTGAGTAGTTTGGAGAACCAGCAAATACCACTTCTGATTGGCCCTACCCCCATCTAGTCTCAGCCTCCCGAGTCCCAGCTGATCGGCTGGGTCTTCTTTTGTTGCCCTGCACAGGAGAACGGAGCTGGAAAGCAGGTTAGTGGGGTGGGGAGGGAATGAGGATTTTACAGTATCCTTCCCCTACCATGCTCACCAAGCTACGCCCAACAAGCCATGCCACACCCACCAAGCCACACCACTCCTACCAAGCCACACCCACAGAACCGGTAGTAAAAAAAAAAAGAATACCACCACTGCATTATACCATATCTTTAAAAAATCCTGGAGCACCAGGGAATTATCAGAGGATTGGAAAAGAGCTGGTATGGTTTCCATCTTTTTTTTTTTTAAACAGACCTAGGAAACTACAGACCAATCAGCCTAACATCAATACCTGGGAAAATACTGGAAAAAATAATAATAAAAAAAACAGATATGTGAACATCTAGAATAGAAACAAATTTATAACTAGTAGCCAGCACAGGTTTGTTGAAAACAGATCATGTCAAACCAATCTGGTTTCATTCTTTGATAGCCACTAAATCATTGTGCATGCCAAAACAACTAGAGAGTTTTTTCCCTCGTGCTACCACTTTGTTGAATATTTCATTTCAAATTCCCAGAGGTTGGTGGGAGGAGCTGCTGGCTGTTTGTGAGGAGGCAGAGAGTGAGTACAAAGGAGAAAGGCAGTTTGAATTGCTTCCATTGCATTTCAGATTCCCAGAGGTTGGTGGGAGGAGCTGCTGGCTGCTTGTGAGGAGGCAGTGAGTGAGTACAAAGGAGAAAGGCAGTTTGAATTGCTTCCATTGCATTTCAAATTCCCAGAGGTTGTGGGAGGAGTTGCTGGCTGCTTGTGAAGGAAGCCAAGGGTGAGTAGAAAGGAGAAAGGCAGTTTGAATTGCTTTCATTGCATTTCAGATTCCCAGAGGTTGTTGGGAAGAGCTGCTGGCTGCTTGTGAGGGAGGCAGATAGTGAGTACAAAGGAGAAAGATAGTGGCCCACGTGTCGTATAACTATAAACCAGAAATACCAATAATACATTCAGGGTTAGTGCGCTTGAGATTGTGATTTTGTTTTATTTCAAAATGACCGGATTAGTTCAGGGTAATACTGATTTTACAGCTGTCTTTTGCAGTACTCTTTTCAAATCTGTATACTGTCCTCTTTGTAAAAAAAATTACCAGTCTACATGGACAGATTACTTAGCTAGAATCTCTAATCTGTGCTCTCCAAGCAGAAATTAGGTGCCCAATCCAGCCATCTATTGAGCTGCCGTGCTATTAGCCCCCACTACCACAAAGATCCTACAGGAAAAGGGCAGTATGGACAACCGTGGGATCTGGCAGGGTGAGATCTGTGGACCATAAACACAAAGCTTTTGCTGTGTCCCAGCATAACAGATACAGTGCTCTTGCTGACCTTAATAGGGACACTAAAGTGACAGGTCAAGGTAGTTGTGATAATGATAACTCAAATAAGCTGGGAATCATGGTCCTAGAAGAAGAACTTACTTTGGAAAGGAGAAAGTGTGAATCAGGTATTACGCACCAGTCACACAAGAAGAGCAAGGCATCCATAAAGAGAAGCCACCTTCTGGTTGGGGACTCAGTTGTAAGGGATGTAAATTTAGGAAAGGATATGGAGGTTTTGAAAGAGGTCAGGTGTCTACCAGGTGCTACTGCCAGCAGGGACAAGAAGCGTATTCTTAAGATAGTCAAGAATGCCAGCAAGGGCTGTGATGTTGATGCTATTATACATCTTGGTACAAATGATCTCTCCCAGAAGGATGTACTTTCTGTTCAAAAAGATTTCCAGAGCTTGGGATATTAGTAATATGGGCTATAGGCTTATCTTTTCAGTTTCTACCAGTATACAAGGAACAAAAAGGGAAAGGGCAGAGTGTAGTGGAGTTTAATGTGTGGCTAAAGGAGTGGTGTAAAAGGGAAGGCTTTGGTTTTATTAGTCATGATGTCTGCAGCTGGTCCAATGAAAAACTGTACAAAAGAGATGGTTTGCATCCATCAAAGAAAGGGACTGAGTTACTTGGCATTAAATTCACAGATTTCCTGGATAAACATTTAAATTGAACAACAGGGACAGAGAATTAATGGATATAGAACACTTCTGTCCCCAGCAACCTAAAATTAATAAGGATACCAGTGCATGCAAAATAGATATTTGTGCAGGTAAGATTATCAACGTTGCTGTCAACCAAAACCAAGCATTTAATAGTGAGTGCCATACCATGTGCATTAATCAAACAGGTGGCAAGAAAGTAGGGGCAGGCAGGCACAACACAGGTTATGTAGACAGTAAACACAGCGTCCGACATAAAGATCTCAAGTGCCTATATACAAATGCAGTCTGGGGAACAAACAGGGTGAACTTGAACTACAAATACATGAAGGTAGATATGATATAGTTGGAATAACAGAAACTTGGTGGGATGAAACCCATGATTGGAACATACTGGTAGAAGGATACAAACTATTCAAAAAACCCAGACCCCATAAAAGAGGAGGTGGAGTTGCATTGTATGTAAAGGACCACTATATTGCTAGAGAAATGCATGAAACCAAAGATGAAAACCTCCTAGAATGCATATGGGTCAATATAAAAGAACAAAAAGAATGACTTGGCCATAGGTGTATGTTATAAGCCATCCAATCAAGCAGAAACAATAGATGTTCTTTTTGCCAACCAACTAACAAACATATGCAGGAAACACACAACAATAGTAATGGGGGAGTTCAATTATCCTGATATCAATTGGAAAACTAATTCTGCACTAAGTGAGAAATCAAATAAATTCCTAACCAACCTAACTGACAACTTTGTTGTCCAAAAGGTAGAGGATGGAATTAGAGGGACAGCCATATTGGACTTAATTCTTACAAACAGAGAAGAAGTGATAGAGGGAGTTGAAACTGCAGGAACCTTGGGTGAGAGTAACCATGTCATACTAGAATTCAGCATAACACAAACACAAGCAACAGAACATAATGACACCAGAGTCTTGGATTTTAAAAGAGCTGATTTCAATAAACTCAGAGAGAACTTGGGAAAGATTCCATGGATGAAAATCCTAAAGGGGAAAACAACTCAAGAATCTTGGGAAACTCCAAAAAGTACTATCATAAAAGCTCAGACCAGCACAATATCACTGAGAAAGAAAAACAAGAAACCCAAGAAGAAACCAGCATGGCTACACAAAGATCTCTCTGGTAAATTGAAAGAAAAAAAAAGACAAGTACAAAAAATGGATAGCCAGAATCTGCAAAAACGAAGTCAGGAAAGCAAAGGCTCAGAATGAAGAAAGACTTGCAACTAAAGTCAAAGATAATAAAAAAAGTTTCTTCCAACATATAAATAACAAGAAAAAATAATCAAGGAAATAGTTGGTCCACTAAAGAGAGAAGACGGCAAGGAAGTAACAGGCAACAGAGAGAAAGCAGAACTGCTTAACTCATTTTTGCATCGGTCTTCACGCAAAAAGAAACTATAGTTCAACCCACCAAAAACATAACTCTAAAAGACAGACCAGAAATAAAGTTAAAATAAGCAAAAATAATAATAATAAGAGAACACCTGTCTGATCTTGATGAAAACAAATCACCGGGGCCTGATGGATTACATCCCAGAGTTTTAAAGGAGCTGGCAGAGGTCATCACAGAACCACTGCACCATATCTTTAGAAAATCCTGGAGCACCGAGGAACTACCAGAGGACTGGAAAAGAGCTGATGTGGTTCCCATCTTCAAAAAAGGAAAAAAAAAAAAAAACCAGGAAACTATAGACCAATCAACCTAACATTAATACTAGGAAGATACTGGAAAAGATAATAAAAAACCAGATCTGCTAACATCTAGAAAGAAGTAAAGTAATAATTAGCAGTCAGTACAGGTTTGTTAAGAACAGATCATGCCAAACCAATCTTATTTCATTCTTCAACAAAGTGACTAAATTAGTAGACTAGCTACAAAAAAGTGGAATAGATAGCACCACCACTAGATGGACTTGCAACTGGCTGACAAACCGTACTCAACGAGTAGTCCTTAATGCATCCAAGTCTACATGGAGGGGGGTAAGCAGTGGGAATAGTCAACAAGTGTGTGTACATGCAGCTCAATTTGTGCAAGCAGTGTGCACGCATGTCCATCACTCACGCAAATGGAGCGTGCTTGCATATGCTTGCCCATTGTGCAAGCGGGGATGAGCATGTGTGCACATGCTCACCATATCTGCAGCTTGGTTGCAAATAATTCATGGCTCATTAGTGGGCTGCAACCCCGTGACCCAGAGGTTGGGCCCCCTTGCTGTGAACCACTTAGAGAGGGCATACATCTAAGTGCTATTGCCTATTCTGTTGTATTCTCTACTCTATCCTCATTATTGGAAGAATATTATTGTTGAAGTAGAACTGCACTGTTTAATCAATTAAAAATGCTAACAGAAAGCTCCAATTATTCAGAAATTTTCTTCTCTTTTGTCAATTCTATATTCAAGATGCAGAATCAAAGAATGTCTTCTATAAAGCTATAATTACTATAAAAGCTATAAACCACAAAATGTGGTTTGGTTGGCTATGGCTTCACATACTATACAAATCCAACCAATATATTTTCATTTATAGCTTATTTTATTCATTGAAACTTAGCCAATGGTAAGTACTCAGTATTCAGTACTGAATAGACAAGACAAACCAGGATTTAGCATGGATGCAGCATGAACGGTGTCTTTCACACAAATAAATGGTTCTTTTAAAATTACCAGCTGCTAGATAAAGTATGGTAGTGTGCAAAGAATGAGTGTCCTGATCCAAGTTGGGGTGTCTCTGCATGGAAAGCAGTTGGTGTATTTAGGAGCAAGAAATCTGCTCCTTAAAGGTAGCTTCAAATGGGGTACAGAACTCATACATTTTTAAAGAAAAGGTGGAGCTTTAGTGAAAGTGTGGTGTTTGAGTGTGTTCATGTCAAGTGATGTTTATTCTGGTGAATGTGGGGTTCCTCTGTGAATCAGGTTTAATTAACTCTATTTGCATTTACAGACCTTCTTTGGTGTGTGTATTAAGTCTGGGTAACTTATTTGGTGGTTCAAGGAAGTTTGAGTAAATGAATTTCTCCTGTTTGCTATAAAACTCTCCATATAGGCATAGTATTTCAAAATAAGGAAGAAGCATCTCTTTCAAAAATATTGTTTTTATGCAGACATGTTTAACTGATGTCAAACGTTCAATTTTGTGACTTTGCTATCTAAAATAAAGAAACCCCAAACAGGAAAAAATAATTTTTGAGCGCTTTTGAATATAATGAACACAAGGTGCTTCATCGGTTAAAATTAATTTAATTACGTGAACTTCAGCTTATGATGAAATTGTCAAATATGTTACTGAAGGAATTTGGGTATCTTTGGAAGGGGGTGGTCTGGAGTCTGGACTAAATATACTTCTTTTCATACCCGCTGAATTCCGAGTCTGTTTTCATACGTGCCTGGAGGACAAAGAGATTTCTTGCAGGCATTGTCTTAATCCTACGTTAACTTCAGCAAGAAAAGTAAATAAAAGGCAACAATTTTTAAATCCACTCGAAAGGATAAAAGTAAGAAAGTTTGCGATTGTTTGCAAAAGCGTTATTGCGCCCAAAGACCAGCAATTGCGGCAAAAATGCCCCCTTCCCGGTAAAAACGCAGCGCCCAATCAGCCCACCAGGGGTCAATTGGCTTTGTGATATACGGCTGACGAATCAGCTAAACGCAACAACAGCGCTCGCGGCTGTTTCCGGATATCGATTAATCCGGCCTGCCAACTTTTGCCGCTTTGGGTACCATCTTTGTGGGGGGCGGCTGAAGGCGGCGAGACGTTGATTTCTCTGCCCGACGTTAGGAGGAGCAGGGCCCGTTCGGCTCAAATCGAGCGATTGCTTCTGCCTGTAAGTGGCGCGGGCCATGAAAGATGGCGGAGTGTTTTGGCGGCGACGACGAGATTTCTCGTCCCTCAGGATGGCTGGGGCAAGCTTGGTGCCTGAGGCGAGTTGGCATGAATGAAGAGTGGCTGCTGCTGGAGGATGGGAGCGAGGTGAGAGGGCCAAAAGCCTTTTCTCTCGACCAGGGCTTGAGGGTCGAGGGGGGGACGGCGAAAAGAGGCAGAAAAAGGCCCTCCCGCGCCCCCTGGCAGCGGCTTAGGAATTACATTCGTGGGGTGTCTGTGCTCCCGGGAACCTGCTAGCTAGCTTTTTCTTTAAAAAAAAAAAAGTGGTCCGCGTTGAGGATCAGTGCGTGAAAACCCACCTGGCTGCGTTAAGCGAATTTTACAATCTGGAACAGCTAGCGGGGATCTTGGGGGAGGGGGGGAAACCCCTGTGCCAGAGTAACCTATGACAGTGATTACTATTGAGAGGATGCTGCAAATAAGTGTTTTTTGAAACCTGGCAACTTTAAGATGTGTGGACTTCCAAGTTCCAGAATTCTCCAGCCAGCAGGTATGGAAGTTGTCAAGTTGACATCATGGAAGTTGTCAAGTTTCAAAAACACCTCTCCTCGATTTCAAGCAAGCCTTTGGTAAGGTCTTTCATAAATTTACAGTGACCAAATGCTCTTTATTGTAAAGGACAGTGCTCTCTTATTTCTGAGAGCTGTCCTTTCAATTCATTTAATTACATTCTTGGTTTTGATCTTGGATTTTCTCTTGTAAAGCAAAGTTTGAGGCATAAAACATTACTTTTTTTTAAAATCCTCATAAACAGTTTTCAGATTTGCCACCTTCCCCACCACCTTTTTTTTTTTTTAAGGTTTGCCCCTTTAGTTTGGGCAAGAAAATATGTCACACCACTCATAATGTATCCTTGTGGGCAGGATGATAAAAATGGGGGTTGGATGGTACTGCTGTCCCAATGGCTTTACAGATGGTGGGACAGCTGGTATCCAAAGGGTGTCCACAAATGTTTCTGCCCTGTATCTTCATAAATGACCTAGAAGATGGAGTGGTGGGGTTGTTTATTGCATACACATTATACTCAACTTTGAGGGAAGAAGACGTTGTAGAGCACTGCACACCAGAACATAAGAACAGTTTTCCCCCGAAAGCCATCATTCTGCTAAGCAAATAATTCCCTCAACATTGTGCAACTATTTACAAAGTCTGCACTACTATTACTGTTAATGTTCTCATCACTCCACCCATCCTCTCTCACTTGTGATCGTAGGACTGTAACTTTGTCGCTTGTATCCTTACATTTATATTGACTGTTTCCTGGTATGATTTGATTGCTGATTGTACCCTATGACTATCATTAAGTGTTGTACCTTATGATTCTTGATTTTTAACTAATGTATCTTTTCTTTTATGTATACTGAGAGTATTTACACCAAGACAAATTTCTTGTGTGTCCAATCACATTTGGCCAATAAAGAATTCTATTCTATTCTATTCTATTCTATTCTATTCTACTCTATTCTACTCTATTCTACTCTACTCTACTCCACTCTACTCTACTCTACTCTACTCTACTCTACTCTACTCTATACAAGGATAGGAGGATTTCCTAATACAGGTGGTCCTCAACTTACAACCATTCATTTAGTGATTGTTCGAAGTTATAACGGCACTGAAAAAAGTGACTTATGACTGTTTTTCACACTTAACAACCGTTGCAGCATCCCCATGGTCACATGATCAGAATTTGGACACTTGGCAAAAGGGATGTATTTATGATGGTTGTAGTGATCACTTTTTGCACTTTCTGATGAGCAGAGTCAATGGGGAGGCCAGGTTCATTTAATAACTGTGGCCAGAAAGGGCGTAAAATGGAGCAAAGCTCAATAACTGTCTTGCTTAGCAATGGAAATGTTGAGCTCAATTGTGGTCGTAATTTGAGGACTACCTGTATCTTCCAGGACAAAAATCACACTTTGAAACGATACTAAAAGATTTCATATTTAGCCTATGGAAAGATAAAATGCATAAGTATAGGAATATGGGATCCTAATCTGATCCTTCTTCTAGGGGTGTACTCATCATCAGTGGAACCGAGTCCATCCATGTTACTTGTGATCACCATCATCTCTTTCCTTCCACCTTTCCCAGCATTAGAGTCTTCTCCAGGAAGTTAGGCTTTCATATTCACGAGAGACTTTAAGCGCATGCGTAACACAAACAAAGCACATACAAACACAAACAAGGCTCACTTGAACATAGCCAGCTTTCTAAGCCCTGTTTCTTGATCAGAGATTCATGAAATTTCTTTTTTTAGCTATCAGGATCCATGACTTAAAACAAAAAAGGACAACCCTACTGAATTTGTATCTGTCTATGAGGCTAACTGTTTATTGTAAAACATCTCTCTCTCTCTCTCTAAACAAACAGATGTTGTTTCATGTAAGGGCAGCCAGTGTTACTTTTCAAATTATGTTAATAATTACACAATGCAGTACTTTTTGGCTGCTTCAGGTATGATGAGTAGAGATCATTTGTATGGTAGCTTAAGTTGGATGAGTAACACGTACACCATGTGGGATTCTTCAACACCATTTTTTATAACCCAAAGAATTCCCATATCAATAAAATTATTATTTTGCATAAAAAAGACGTTTAAGGTTCTATATATCTCCTCATAGCTAAGCAGAACTGAAAATGACTCCTCAGTCTCCTGCTAGCCACTCAGGAGTTGGAAATCTCGGCATAGCCAGTTTTTGTATACTGGTTATGAAGGAGTGCAAATAACTGCTTCAAATGGGGTGAATTTTACTCAAAATAATTTTATGCATGTTTTATTAATTAATTTACTTATTTATTAAATGTATTTGCTGCCCATCTTTCAAACAACTCTGGGTGGCTTACAGCTTAATAAACATTAAAAATATTAAAATCATCAAATATAAAATGACAAAATAGACAAAATAAAACCATTAACGCAAGATGGAAAAGGAGGGAACTGGATATACAGGGGGCGGGGGAAGGTTGGATTAGTTTTTAATTAGTCAATCACCTCCAATGTAAACTCCCATTGGGACTCTGGCCATCTGGCAGAAGCAAGTTTTAACGCTCTTATAAAAATTAGGAGGGTGGGAGCCAATCTCACCTCGGGGTAAAATATTCCAAAGGCAGGAGCCAAAGCAGAGAAGTGTATATAAAGAATATCTCTTTTGGTATTCCATTTAGCTAAATTAAGGTTTCATTTTGAGATATGCATATAATTATCTTACTTTTAAAGTTCTTCTAAACTATGATTATAATTAAAGTAGAAATGATTTGTAAAAGTGTGATTTTTAATTTTTTTTTGTTTTGGAATATATATATATATATATATATATATATATATATATATACATACATACATACATACATACATACATACATACACATATACATATATACATACATACATACATACATACATACATACATACATAC